TATATATATATATATATATATATAAGTTATTTGATCTTGTTTTCGCAACTTGGTCATATTGGCCGAAAGAATTAGAGAAACGCATCTTGTCCGGATCCCATAGCTTGCATGACGATTTCCAAAGTCGGTAGCAAGACCACGGTTCGACTCTGGAAATTTTCATGCAAGCTATAGACTCCGGGTGAGGTGCGTTCCTCTGGATCTCCATGCCAATATAACCAAGTTGCGAAAACAACGTTAAACAACTACTATACAACGAAAGATGACCGCGACCATAAATAAAGCTCCAACATCTTGGACTTTGTGTATTAGACTATATATATATATATATAGTTTAATGTATATATACTTTAAATAATGAACTAATATGTACAGAATAATATAAATAAATACAGAAGGATTTGATTTATCCTTTTTATGGTTCAGTTTTTATGAATGTATATACATACATATATAAATAATTTATGTCCGGGTACGAGACGACCATGTAGAAGCCTAAGTAAGTATATAAAATCTTGATTTAGATTGGCCTATTAATCTTTCAATATCCACCTTCCGATCAAATAACAGTCGTCAAAAGCCAATTTAACTTTACAACATGAAAACAACTTCAGATCTTAATATCCTGGATCAAAGTCGCGTTGTCCGACGCTCCGTAGGCTCAGAATGTTCGGTTGAAATGAAACCGACAGACAGCAAGGCCTGAATGACTTTATTTCAACCAGAAACACATCGTGAGGTCGTTGCTCAGCTTTACATTCAGACAGGATCCAAGCGTTTTTGGGTGTCGGGGCCCAATCCGCTGGACCTTTTCGAAGAAAACTCACTGCCCTCGGCCGTGGGTGCTGCGGCGAAAGCAATTCCGCCTCGACCGCCAAGATCGGCTTGAGGGTTCGGTCTCGGAGTCCACACTTCACCGCGTCATGTGGCATCAGGCGGCGATAACTTTGCTAGTCTCAAAATGTACCGAATTTCTTGCCTCAGACCAATGCAACCTGTGCTTCAGGACAGGTCATCTGACCTCTCGGACCGTACAAAAACGCATGAGGTGACATAGCCAGCCTTCTCAGACGACAGCAAAGATAGACAGAAGCCATGTCTGGCTCGGCTAAGAGGGTTGATATACGAAGAAAAGTTGGGTTTTGAGGAATCTCTTGTTTCATAATTGATGAGCTTACTTCCATTTCGAGTGGAAGTGTTGCGTGAAGAGATTCGAAGTTCGGTTCCACCAGAAGACGACGGCCAATTTCTCTTGACCAGCTGTTGATTGGCTTTACTAGAGCATTCATGCTGACGCTGTTTCCGAGGCAATCTCACTCGATTCCGTCATTTGAT